AGAGCTAGATGAGATTTTAGCAACTCTGAGCTATTAGTTGAGTTCTCCGCAAACAAGCCAAATGGCCTCCTCTTGTTTGTACATTTCTTATGTTCTTCTGTTCCTGGCTTAGCCCATCTTGCTCTCCACAGCTTGGGGGACCCCTGGAGTTAGGGGTTAAGGTTAAGGGCCCATGGAAGTACGACCATTTTGCCAAGACCGGAGCTACGACCAGTGATCTTCTGATCACGAGCACAGAAACTCCCCCCCATAACACACACCTTTATCCTCTTCTTGAACTACGGCCCTTCCCACCCCCCTGCCCATCAAATCGCTTCCACATTATTGATCTCAGTAATGGTAAGATGCCGATTTCATCTATAACACTATTTAAAAAATGAAATCCAGGCTCACAGCTGGCAGGACAGAACATAATTAAAAAGTTTAGTTTTCTAGTCTTAAGCCTTCATTTATTTATTTATTTTTATTATAAATGAGTCAAATGTGTGTCTGTGCACGGCTGCAGATGTTGTTTGTGGAGGCCGAGATACTTGTTTGTCTCGCAGGATTGCTGTTTGTGATTCTATTGTCCGCATTTCGTGAAGCGAGGCAGAAGTTCCTCGTTAGCTTTTGCCAGGAAATGCAGTGACCTGCCGTCGCGGAAGAACCGCCGGCGTTCTTCGGCGATGGATAGATTAGCACAAAAGTAGCTAACAGTGTTAGCCACATAATGCTAATAATATGGTAAACATTACACTGTGGTATATGACAATATGTATGTATGCAGTACAAGAACTGTAAATGTATGACAGCAGAAAGGGATCATTATGGAGAATTATTAATTATAATTGAAAGTAGTATATAATACACCAACAGGATCTCAGTAGTGTGTAATATAATGACCAGAGGTGGGGATTTCAGGTCCAGAGAGTACAAATCCAGACCAAGAATTTGTTTCAACCAAGTAGCTGAGTACTCAGTCATGTGACTTTTTATATTCAGCTGGTTGGTTGAAACAAATCCTTGGTCTGGATATGAACTCTCTGGACCTGAAATTTCCACCTGTGATAATGATCCTGTTGAAATGCAATAATCCATTAAACATTGGGGATGACCAGAGCTCAGTATGGAAAACCAGAGAACATGTGTTGCATGTTAGCTCTATTTTAAATCTTTTGTTACGTTGCAGAGTCTTATGGACTATTATACAGTTCAATGGGGGGAAAAAAATGTCAAAAACACCAGATCCAACCTCTTGTTTGTAAGTGTAAAGCCTCATTTGTAAAGTATTATGGGCAAAGCAAAGCCAGATGACACACGGGCTCTGAACGCTGACATAAAAGTTATTCTCCAGTCATTTATACAAGCATGTGGAAATACTAAGCATCCTCGTCCCTTATTCGTGTTACCACACGTCAATCATTTTAGGAAATCCAGTCAGAAGAGGCAGTGATGTGAGTCTCCTCCCCCCAGCAATCAAGGATGACTATTGGCCAAAAGGACCAAGATGTTTCTCTTCCCATGGCTTCTAGCATGTCTTTACAGATAATATAAATAAACAACCCTTAAAAAAAGAAAGGAAATGTATGAACTATGGGTTGTTTTGTCTCCCCAGAAAACAAATGATGCTGACCAACTTAAATAGTCCAAAGAATTTCATAAACACGGGATTTTACACATTATAAGGTGACAGCATTTGTAAATCTCTTTTTTCATCACAGGATTCTTACTTACATAAACATACCTTGATTGAAGGGTCCCATTTAAGTCTGAAGTCAAAGGCAACAATGAGGGCTGAGTATAGATCGCAGTCTTTCTATGTATTGTTAGTGCAAAAAAAAAAAGTATTACTATATTTTGACTGTCTAAATTTTTAATTACTGTACCATTTCATTTTCATGTTCCCCCGTAACAATTTTCAGTTCTTCAATCCATATCTGAGAAGCTCAACCCTGCTAAGTAACTCAAGGTTACTTGCGCAAAAAGTCCAGGTGTCAGTCTCTGTGAAGAGTGTGTGTGCCCTCTGACTTTCTTTTTTCTCCTCGTGTCCCAGTTAAGAAATTGCTTACATCCCACTCAGACTCGGTTTAAATGTCCCACAGGGTATGTACCAATATGCAGAGAGCACATTTCAACAGACGCCATCAGAGAGCAGGCATGTGAATTACCAGGCAGTCTGCCATCTTTTAGTTCAGAAGGAATGGCATTAATATGTTATTAAGTCCAAAACAACAACACAACAACAACAACATGAAAGTCAAAGCAACTGGGACCAGGTAAAGGTTTCATAATTTATATATGATGTATTTATTAACAAAGCATAACTGTCCTTCAGAAAAGTTAATACTATGGAAACGGCAAACATCTGAATGTAGTCTGAAAACAGATTCCATCAGCAAGTCACATTACGGTTAATAATATATACAAGTCACTGTTGACCATGACTAATTCAAGAGTCATGATATATTTATGTCTGCTATTAAAGAAAACACAATCCCTTTAAATTTAAATGACAATAAATATTAGCACTGCACAATTAGGTCATAGTTTATATTAAGTCGGTAAAGTTACTAAGCAATTTGACTATAACTGCAAAAAAACGGGCTGTAAAACTTATTAAATTACAACTGCAAGCTTCAGTAATTAAGGGTAGGATTTGGGTTGGGACTGTTATAAACAATAGCGTTTAAATATATGCATTATATAAAAGTGATAAAGTTGGTCTTATGCAGCAGTTAAGAGCTTCAACTTTTTGCCCTAATAAGCAATGCAACAGAGTTTAGCATAATTTAGAAAATCTCATTTTGATGCCCTGTAATCGGGATTACAGATTCCCATGAAATCGTAAACACAGTCTTAGGCTGGTTTGATTCCAAATTGGTTTGTTAAATTTGCTGTAACTGAAGGCTTAATGGGCCTCGTTGCATTCCTGAAAACTATTATGTAAATTTAACGTCTGTATGCAACTATGCATCCATAGTGATTATTATTATTGCTTAGTTAACAAAAAAACTATGATAGTCCACGTTAACAAGATAAGCAACCTTTTACTTGTAATATAGCATTATATAGCATATAGCATTGAATTGAATTGAATTGAATTTGAATAGCATCAGATATAGCATTGAATTGAATTGAATTTGAATAGCATCAGATATAGCATTGAATGTATTTGAATGCATTCCGTTTTTAAATATTTGACACGTGTTCAATATGATTATTTAGAGTTTTTACATACAGACAAAGGACTACAGTTAAGACTTTATTTAGAACCCTTGCATTGAGAAACTTGTCCACATGGAGCGTATTGGTCTCAAATGGCAGAAATGGCAAAACAGCCAAGGTTTTCAGGAAATGGGTGTTCTCTGCTCAAAAAAAAAACGTAACTGCTTATAATTGTGTTAGACTGAAGGTCCACTTATCATCCGTACAGCAGCTGGGTCTACATGACATGTTTCAGTGGGCAGCTGATAATACTGACAAGCCTCTAGACTTGCTACTGGACCGGTACCTCAATCTACCTGAGAGGAACCGGACCACAAGACAGTGGCACTCACGGGTGAAACAGATGTGCTGTTTACTGAAACAGAACACAAAAAACCCGATTCTGCTTAGAATCAGATCTGATTCTGAGAATTTTCCTTGCGCTTTCTTCACCAGTTAATGGCTGTCCTGTGTTACACTTTCACAATTCTAATTCAGAAAGATAATTTTCCACTTTAGTCAAAACCAACTGCATTAAAGCGGAGTGAATGTTTTCATTTCTGAGCTGCCCGTTCCCTGTACTGGCCTGCATGTTTTTCTCTGTTTAAAAACCACTCTCCAATAAATCCAGGTACGGAAACAGCAGCTTTTAAATACACTCTTAACTCCTTTGCTGAGTCAGCAGCTCATTAATGACACAAGTAGTCCAGCGCCATCCTGACAAATCTCTTCCTCCTCACAGGTAGATATAGTGATGGTGACTCCCTTTTCTCAGTATTAACCTGAGTGCAGTCTAATGGGAATTGGGGACTGACGTCAGCCTTTTGTTTATCCTCCCTTGATGCAAATTTTCATTCACGATTTTCCCCTCTTGAAAACATACATTATTTGCATCACAGTAAGTCTGAGGCAAATATTTAAAAAATACTGTTATGACAGTATGTAAGCCTGTAAATGTGTTCCTTTCTGGGAAATCCGTTATGTTTTCGGTGTGAGGTCAGTGCCCCAGACCGCCGCACGTGACTTACTGAACGTAAGCAATGTACGTACACGTGGTAAATTATTTCATGCAATCATCGTAGCAGGACGTATTTTCCTAACCCACTTGGCTACATTATTTGACATGTGGAGTCGCGCATATAAAGTGCATATTGCAATTTCCTTTCTTATTATCAACAACTTAACAAAGAAAGGATCATATTTAATAAATAGTAAGCAAACATAATGAGAAACCATGTGATGAAACGCGGTTTTATACCCTGTTTAGATTTCTCTTAATAAACCGCTTTATATACAGAACCCGAATATATCATAATTTAACATATTGATCGTATTTTTAGTTTAACACAGTTGCAACGCACTTATGGGACCAGATTGAAGTTCCCCGGCTTTTTGTCGCGCACTGGAGTAGAGTATTTGAGCTTTCGCTTAACTGGAAAGCGTATTGTTCTGCCCTTGAAAGGTACAAGATCGTTCTTAGTCGATGTTTTGTCTTCCCTCTCTTGTGGGAAGCTGAAGACATGAGGACAGGGCAAAAAAGAAAAAAAAAGTTTGCTTCCAAGCGTCTTTATCTCCTGACGTTATTATTGAGGCTTTTAGCAGAGGAAGCCTATAGCTGTGCAAGGCGGGCACCGTGCAGGAGAAGCGCAGATCGGGAGCCGCCGGGTCCCAGATGCCTACGAGCGGCTGCGCCGGCGTGGCTGTCAGAAGGCAATGCAGCCGGAGCGCCTGTTTTCTTTGGGGGCAGCTGTGGTAATTTAGGGGAGGTGTAGATTTATAATCCCACCCAGTCAAAGTGCTCCGCGGCAGCTCACATAGGACAGGGGGGGGGGGGGGAAACAACTCTCCACAGGAAAACCGTGAGACGGAATGATCAGAACCACACAACAGACGCACAAACCAAGGGGGATAGTCATATACTTTGATACTCCGTTAATTACTCATGCGATGTGATGCAGATGTCTGGGGGCTTCGTCTGAAACTTTGTTAGACGCTTCCAAGGGAGACAAACACTTTAGGAGCGGTAGGTGAAAACCAGATGCATTTATTATTTATAGATATATCAGTTTATGTTCTGTCGCCGATTCCCGTCAGCTTTCTCCTGATCAGAAACTGAGAGGGGTTGTCAGATTTTTGTGTCCTAGATGCCAGTTAAGAGATTGGCCAAGAAACAAGGTGGTTATAACAGTGGATATAAAAGACCTTTTGTTAATACTGGTAAATGATTACATGCTTCGCATAGTTTACGTTCATCTCGTATCTGTTGAGAACTGTGGACTTTTCCTTAGTTACCGTGACGCATTAATTGCCAGTGGTTCAAAATATAATTCATCCATCCATCCATCCATTTTTCAACCGCTTATATGTTGGTCCGGGTTACAATTCATTGACTTTAAGAAAAACACATAAAGAGGACTTTGGATTTGTACCCTGGTGTGTTTGAACATGCTTGTTTTATTGTTGACTGAAGAACAACGTTTTTCAGGGGAAATCAGGACCACAATGTTAGGATGCAGACTGAATTCTTTTTTGTCGAAATGCTTCAGAATTTCGGAATCAGTAAGAAAAAAAAAACCTTATAGCCTACGTGAAACGTATCGGACGTTCAAAACTGGCGAATGAAATTTAAATAGGACAAGCAATTGTCAATCAAAGGCAGAACACGTTTGCCTCTCAAACCCGCTATGTACTGGGACTAAGGGGGGAAAGCCAGTGCGGAGACGCGGCTCCACCATCTGTGCCCCATTACAAGTGCTTGTTAGAAGTCTAGAGAAGCCGACGGTAACGTAGTCTCACAATGCGAGAGTGAACTTTCTTTACTGTCACTCTCTTCAAATATTGGGGGTTTTGAATCTACGGAAACTGTTACTTTTAGACACTTAAATTTGACTTTTCAACCTAGTCTCCTCTAGCTGTGACGGGAACTTATGTTGCTTTTGCATATTATAGAAAAATAATCACGAATCTTGCGCTGTTGATTGATGTAAGCATCCGAAAATGAGTTTATCCAGAGGAGCCTAACCGTGCCTCCCCCTGTCTGTTCTTTTCTTAGCTTCCCCGACCGGCGGAGGCCCCCATCGTGTTGCCTTTTGTGGGGTTGCGGAATGCGCTTGGAGATGACCTCCTCCACCCTGTGCGTTTTGCTGGCGGTGGTGTGCCTGGCCGCCACCGGGACGTGTCAGATTAACGGCACCGACGGGCCCCTGCCGGGCCCCGACGCCCAAATGACCGGGCGCTTCAACAGCTCGGTGAAGATGCGCCCGCTGGCCCCACCTCCGTGCGACAGCAACACGTCCATCAAAAGCTATGCAAAGTACATCAACACCTTCTTCTCCTGTATAGTCTTCGTCGTCGGCCTGGTGGGCAACGCCACCCTGCTGCGGATTATATACCAGAACAAGTGCATGAGAAACGGGCCCAACGCGCTGATCGCCAGCCTGGCGCTGGGCGACATCATCTATATCGTAATCGACATACCAATTATCGTCTACAAGGTTGGTTTGCCGTCCTCACCAGAGGCGGATTTGTCATTTCTGGGGTCGCACTAAAAAAATCACCCCCTTCCCCTAAAAAAGACTAAATAAATAGCGAATATAGTCAGAAGATCGTAGCTATAGCTGGCTGATTAACAAAACACGCCACATCAGCTTCTCCTATTTAATATTTAGTGTAGTTAGTGATTGTTTGTGGACTATACCCCCCTCCCAAACCTCGGGGGCCCCAAGTAAATGAGTTTGAGTGGTATAATAAACACTGTCGCTGGACCTCACGCATCCAATTACGTATGGCTGTGGGATTTTTGCAGCGATACTGTATAACGAATATTTAACGTTAATACCTAACTAAAATTTTCTCGGCGATACAGCTTCGATTGTCACATCCGTATGCCGGTAACACTACTTGATGGGGCACAAATAATGTAGTACTATACTATTACTTACGTATACGTATTAATTAACCATAAACTAAGTCTTAGTTACATACTGATATCATGTTAATTCATTAATGAATCGTGATGCATGTTTTCTCAAGCAGTTACTATATTTGTTACGATATGCGTTCATTCTGTAAATCTTTATGAACTACTGAAGGAACATAACACAAGTGAAATACTGATCTCATGTTTGTTTATCATTAATGAAGTATCTCATATATTAAATCATATCTCGAGTAGCAACTATATTTGTTCATGATTGGTTTATAATTTGTACTTCAGTAGTAACTGAGTTATTACTAAGTATTTGTGCCCCATCATGTTAAGTGTTCTCCGTTTGCCTTATACCCTCCTTATGTTCCCTGCCCTTCACGGCGTCTCCTCCCCGCGTGCGGTGAGTGTTACGGGAAACGTGCGGCTGAGATTTTTGCGCGCGTCACTCTTCGGCTCGAGTCAGCAGGCTTGTTCTACTAGTATTTAAGGTATTACAGTGCACCTTCATGGGTAAACGTGTAATAAATGCAAAGTGTTTGTATTTTTTTGTGAGAGATTTAATTTAAACGTTTTAAATGTATTGCATATATTGTTGAGTTGTACTTCACGCTCGTTTAGGTTTCGATCTTGATAGAATGGAGTTTGCTGTACAGCATCAGAACAATTAAACTATAAATATAAATATAACTCAATAACAACTGGGCCTATCTCCAGACTGATAAAGCCACAAGTTCTAATTAGTCTAAACAGAATTCAACAGATAAACTGATTGCCTTGATAAAACAAATGTAATATTAGACCTATGTTTAATTATCTACAGTGAAGGAATCACTGTGCGTTGTTTTATTGGATGGACAGACGGTAAATTGGCATGTTTAGCGTCAGGCAGGTTCTCCACAGACCCTTACTTCTGCCGCATGACCTCAGAGGGACTGTGGTGCATCACCGAACACCCCCCCCCCGATTTTTCCTTGTGTCCCCTTCACTGCCTCGTCCCGATTTTTCTTGTACCCCTCCCAGAAGTGTTCAATTCTGATTGGTCGGTTTGGTTGAAAATATTACACTATAAAAACAATAATATACATTGCACTATAAAAATGCTTTTTCCGGAAATGAGAAAGTATAAAATAAAGAAGTCTTGTTTCAAAAACAGTATCTCTAACACCCCCCCATACCCCCACCCCACCCCCCCCCCACACCAATCCAGGCAGGCCAGCGTAGCACCAGGACTGTTGATGTATATCAATTTTTGTTGCCCCACACCCAGTGTTGCTCCTGATTAGCCTCTACCCCCACCCACCCCCCTCGCCACCCTAAAGCTTTGGCCCACTTGGGCGGGCCCGTTTCACTTCTTGAGTGCCAGTCCCTGTTCTGGGAAAAGCCAGTGGCTGAAGTCCAGCTGGATCCTGAAGCAGACTCAGGAAGGAATGGGTGCCCCTTGACCAGCTCGAGGTCATTTGTAACTCAGCAGAGGACGTCTCACCGTAAGAGGCCCTGTGTATCCGTCCAGGCTGTCTCCTGTAGCCTGTTGACCCACACCATGACAGCAACGTAAACCTCTTAGCCATAGCAGATACTTGTGAGCCACATTTGGAAACAGCCATGTACATTAGTCAGGGAAGGTCCTTAGGACGACAGATAAGGGCTAAACTGTGCTCATAATCAGTGTCCCAGAACAGGCCGTACTGGGGAGACACTACCCAGAACTCAGAAATGTTACAGGGTTCAAGCAAAGCAAACATTCGTACCTCATTGATTTATTAATCTATACAGGCTGCGCTCCACTTGCCTAAAACCAACTTAAGTAAATCCGGACTTACGAACAAAATAGCTGAGATTGTACAGAATGGCTAACACAAAAAGGCAATGTACGCCTATATGTAAATTTAAACTTTTCATTTATTTAATGGTGCTATTTAGTACGTTCTAGAATATTCAGTACGTTCTAATACATTTTTAGTAAATTTTTTGGATTATGTGTTCTTTGCTAAATGGTGTCTTGAATGGTATGATAAGGTAAATCTGACTTCGACATACAAAATTCGACATACATAAGCGTTAGCGGAATGGATTGCTTACGTCAGTCGAGAGCTACCTGTACATCATTTCTACTTATTCACTCTCTACCAGACCAGCAAGTAACATAGAGATCCGATATGAGTTTATAACCCAAATGGGGAATGTTCATGTCCCAGGAGGGGCTGCTGTTGTACCTTAGAACCATCTGAATTGCAGTGTCCGCACGTCACACGGGCTGGTGCACTTGGTTCTCCGTAGCGTGCTTGGGCCTCAGTCTTGTTTTCTCTCCCAGCTACTGGCCATGAGGTTTCCGTTCAACGACAAGCCGTTCGGCCTCTTCCTGTGCAAGATGGTGCCGTTCATCCAGAAGGCATCTGTGGGAATCACCGTCCTCAACCTCTGCGCCCTGAGTGTGGACAGGTACCACAGCTCCGCCAGACGTGCCTCCCGGTCACGGTGCAATTCTCGCTTCATGTGGTGGGAGGTGGCCTGAGCGGTTTGAAATAGTCAAAAGTATTTGTATAAGGATTTTAATGTAAGCACTTAAGTGTTTACTCTCCTTCCGTGGACCTAAAACTTAAAGTAATATTGTTTGTTTAAAATTCAAATTGAATCATTGATGAAAAAAACTGTTTTAATGCTGCCTTTGGTATATTTATGTTAATGTTTATGTTCAAAATACACTCACCTAAAGGATTATTAGGAACACCTGTTCAATTTCTCATTAATGCAATTATCTAATCAACCAATCACATGGCAGTTACTTCAATGCATTTAGGGGTGTGGTCCTGGTCAAGACAATCTCCTGAACTCCAAACTGAATGTCAGAATGGGAAAGAAAGGTGATTTAAGCAATTTTGAGCGTGGCATGGTTGTTGGTGCCAGACGGGCCGGTCTGAGTATTTCACAATCTGCTCAGTTACTGGGATTTTCACGCACAACCATTTCTAGGGTTTACAAAGAATGGTGTGCAAAGGGAAAAGCATCCAGTATGCGGCAGTCCTGTGGGCGAAAATGCCTTGTTGATGCTAGAGGTCAGAGGAGAATGGGCCGACTGATTCAAGCTGATAGAAGAGCAACTTTGACTGAAATAACCACTCGTTACAACCGAGGTATGCAGCAAAGCATTTGTGAAGCCACAACACGCACAACCTTGAAGCGGATGGGCTACAACAGCAGAAGACCCCACCGGGTACCACTCATCTCCACTACAAATAGGAAAAAGAGGCTACAATTTGCACGAGCTCACCAAAATTGGACAGTTGAAGACTGGAAAAATGTTGCCTGGTCTGATGAGTCTCGATTTCTGTTGAGACATTTAAATGGTAGAGTCAGAATTTGGCGTAAACAGAATGAGAACATGGATCCATCATGCCTTGTTACCACTGTGCAGGCTGGTGGTGGTGGTGTAATGGTGTGGGGGATGTTTTCTTGGCACACTTTAGGCCCCTTAGTGCCAATTGGGCATCGTTTAAATGCCACGGCCTACCTGAGCATTGTTTCTGACCATGTCCATCCCTTTATGACCACCATGTACCCATCCTCTGATGGCTACTTCCAGCAGGATAATGCACCATGTCACAAAGCTCGAATCATTTCAAATTGGTTTCTTGAACATGACAATGAGTTCACTGTACTAAAATGGCCCCCACAGTCACCAGATCTCAACCCAATAGAGCATCTTTGGGATGTGGTGGAACAGGAGCTTCGTGCCCTGGATGTGCATCCCACAAATCTCCATCAACTGCAAGATGCTATCCTATCAATATGGGCCAACATTTCTAAAGAATGTTTTCAGCACCTTGTTGAATCAATGCCACGTAGAATTAAGGCAGTTCTGAAGGTGAAAGGGGGTCAAACACCGTATTAGTATGGTGTTCCTAATAATCCTTTAGGTGAGTGTATATTTATATCCTTTTAGCGAGGCAATACAACTGCCAGTCGTAACTAAACAGGCTTAGAGCGCATCGACAGGGACAGTGCTGTGAACTTTGCTGGGATTGGACCGTTTTCAGCGTTTTTTGGTTTTGACATAAATGTTCACGTGATTAAAAGCAAAGTGTGACAATTCTGGAATTAGACAGATCAATTGTAATTCTTGCTCTTGTTCTCTCATCATGTACTTTTTAACTAATTTTAGTTTAAAATGTAGTATATTATTATTGTATGCGATAAATAAGGAACAATATATAAATACAAATATATAAGTACAAATTATATTATACATCACAATTACATCTGTTAAAGAAATGTTTTTTAAAAATTCTGTTCAGATTTAGTGAAAAATTAATCTGTCGTATTACGTTTTCTTTGGGTATAGAAGCATAAAGACAACAGAATGTGGATAATGGCCACCCTACGTAGGACGCAACCTGGCTTGACTTCTGAAACTAAAGGTCTTCGCTCTACTTGCGCGATGACAAAGGGAATGAACCTCAAAAAGCTGATATGGAAATGTAGGGGGCGTGTCCTAAGGGGTCCCTGCGTTTCCATTGGTCACAGATACAGAGCCGTGGCTTCCTGGAGTCGCGTGCAAGGAGTCGGCATCCCCGTGGTGACGGCCATCAAAATCATCTCCATCTGGGTCCTCTCCATCATCCTAGCCGTGCCCGAGGCTCTCAGCTTCACCATCGTCGGCTTCAGCCACAGAAACGTCAGCTACAGAACCTGTATGATGCAACCAAAGTCCCCGTTCATGAAGGTACGCTGGTTTCAACGGTACATCAGCTAATTCTGTCTAGGTTTTGGGAACCCACGATGCCAGGAATCTAGTCCCTTAACCATTGCACTGCTCCGGCAGTATATTTTAGCTTGTAATTTTATTTAAATATTTTATTCTAGTATGCAATATTTAAAGGCATGTTATGTGTATCTATAACATAAAGGTAGTGGTTTTACACTCCATTAATATTGCATCAGTTCTGATCCATTAACACTGGCCTTTTGCACAGATAGGCTCTGTTTCAAATAGAACATGACATACCACTTCAGTTCTGCTTAAGTGTAGAGTATATTAGGCAGGATTTATCTGGGCTGGTCCTCCCAGTGCACTGGTGACAAAGATTCTGGGTCTCCCACAATGCACTGCTGTGAAGTAAGCCTTTGTGGGGGGGGGGGGGGGGACTTCTGAATGAATTATTAGGAAGGGCCGGTTTTGTGTGGGGGCAGGTGTGGAGGAAATGTCACAGCATGTTGTTACCAGCCTGATGCGGAAAGCATCACGCCCGCCAGCGCTCTGCAATAACAGATGAAATTTTCCCTGGGCCAGCTGTGCAATAACACATCTCTGCGACTTTCGTACTTCCTGTCATCTCTTAAACATGTTTTGATGTATGCTAGCAAAATAGAAGTCCTCTCTGTAAATGTACCATTTTACGGAAATCTGTTAATCGGGAACGGAAATTGTTACGGATTTCACGGCTTCCCGTGCAAATCACAGTTTAAGAAAAAAAAATCACGTTAGACGGTTAGAATTGACACAACAGCACGTGGGTCCTCTCTCAGTTATCACCTGTAACGCTGTGTCTCTAGTTTTATACAGATGCCAAGGATTGGTGGTATTTTGGTTTCTACTTCTGCATGCCCCTCGCCTGCACGGCCGCCTTCTACACTCTCATGACTTGCAAGATGCTCCACCACAGGAATGGAACCCTGCGGATAGCTCTGAGCGAGCACCTCAAGCAGGTGAGATACCATACCTCCATGAGAAGACCCAGACCACCTTCGCTCTCCTTGATGTAGCTTCTGGACCACCTCTTCTCCCATAAATGTGTTTTGTTTTTGTTGTTTTTTGGACCCCCGTGAACACCATTTAATCCCGACGTTGTTGTCTTTCAGCGGAGGGAGGTGGCCAAGGCTGTCTTCTGCTTAGTTGTCATCTTTGCCCTCTGCTGGTTCCCCCTTCATCTCAGCAGGTTGCTGAAAAAAATGGTCTACATTCCAGGAGACAAACATCGGTGTGACCTTCTTAAGTACGTAGTCCATTCTTCAAACGGTCGCCGATCACATGGGTCATTTTCTGTCCCTCATAATGTGAAATATGAATATAGGGTCTGCATGTACATTAATGTGAGCAGGTAGATCGTTAGTCATTATTAATGATGGTTGTAGATGTTCCCTCAGCTTATTTCACCTCTGCTTTAGCTTCCTGTTAATCTTGGACTACTTCGGCATCAACCTGGCCACCGTGAACTCCTGTATAAATCCCATCATCTTGTATTTCGTCAGCAAGAAATTCAAGAACTGCTTCAAGGTTAGACCTCCCCTTTAACTCTGCCGAACACAAACACCACTTTCCCCTTTAATCATCTGGGACAAAAAAAAAAACCAGCAAAGAAAGAAAATCCAAATACCCTTCCCCCCCTCATGCCCCCCTCCCAGCCAGAGCCCGATGGCTCGGAAGATTGAGGCTGGTACTGATGACATTTCTGCAGGAAAACGTAAGCCGGCGCTGTGATTTACGAGCTGGCTTTTCGGAATGGGTCATGGCCTGCATGTTCCAACGGAGGACCCGTGTGGGAGGAGAAGGGGGCCTCTTTCGGGGTGGAAAGGGGGGCAGTCTGCCAAGCTTTCACAGTGCTGTCAAAAAGAGCTGTTCCCTGCTACCATTGACATGGCACTCGCAGTGATTCAAAAAAAAAAGACATACTTTTAAAAATTACTGACTCATCTGCGGATGACTGAATATCATTTGCAGACTTCATATACATATTTACTACAGTCTACACCCATTTGATTCATATGGAGCAACTGTGATTTAAAAAAAAAAAATTAGGTTTACATTTGCAAGCTTGCAGCAAATGCGTTCGAGGTGTTGGACGTAACAAGGAAGTTACGAATGAAAATAGCAGTTATTACAGTAATTACTCCAACAGTAATGGCCGAGCTTTGGTGTCTATCATTCATTTTGAATTGTATATTTATTGCTAATTTTTTCCCCTTTTTTGCCTGTAAAACATTTGAAATCCTGTGGATTGAAGTAGCAGTGGTATATTTAGTCAGTATGGCTCGGTGAGGGTCATTGATTGAGGCTGGATTGCCTTTTTAATCGTTATTGTTCCGTCTGTTTGAGGTGAACTCCTCCAGTCACATAAGTCATCTTCTGCTGTTTATAGTAGTGGTTTATATTTTCGCTGGAGTCGCTCTGATGGATTGGGAAAGACACTGATGCTTGGGGTTAAACACATAACATCCCCAGTGGAGAACGGGATGTGGATTGCGGACATGTTGTTCACCCTGCCGGAAAAAAACTATGGCTTTAGTCCAATTTATACAGTAAATAGATATTGCAGAAAATGCATTAATGAGGTCGATGACTGGATCTGATTGCCATTTATAGTAGGACGAGGCTAAAGTTGTGTCGAGTGTTAGGACTCCAGGTTCCTTGCGTGTTTGCTTTAACGTCCATCTTCCTCTGTCTCTGGCAGTCCTGCCTATGCTGCTGGTGTCACTCCCCAACCCTGGCCAACAGCACAGGACCTCTGAATGGGACAAGCATCCAGTATAAGAACCAGGAGCCCAACAACCACAATACGGACCGGAGTCTGCGCAAGGACAGCGACAACTGAGCTACTGGCTGCCCCCCCCCCCACCAAAATCCCTGCCTTGCCCCCCTGTGAAGCGTATCTCACCAGGCTCTGTGTGCAAGTAGCCGGCACTGAACTTCACATTAAAGGATGCCGGCCCTTTAAATGGCAGACTCTCTCAGGTCCTAACGTACCGACACCCGAAGGCGGGTTTGGTGTGCGCCGTACCCCTGGACGCTTCACCCCACAATGCCCCCAAAGCTCACTGGAAGTGTTACTTTCATTTTCGTCGGGTGGGTGAGTCTGGGACACGATGCAACAGAGCGCCACCTGCAGGATTGGCGTTGCATATGCAGGGATGACCGGAGAACGGCCCAGGCGAGGCACGGCGAGGTCACATCTGAGCCTTGTGCCCCCCCCATCCCCCCACAGTGGGGGAGGAGACTCATGGGGGTCCCACAGAGCAGCCTGAGGGTGGGGTTTGCACTCATCTCATAAGCTGCCAGCAGTATGAAGAGAACAATCTTAAGTACTTACCTGTAAGTACCGTTAAATAAATGTATGCATCACTTATGGAGGCTTTCTTATCCATGGATGGCCAATAACATGTAGATCTCATGTATTTTACCATATTATTCTTTGGATTATAGCCTTGTATTTAAAGCTCTTTATATGAATATTGTAATATGTTGTTTCCGAACACCTTGTATTAACATTTAAATAAGTAAAGTGTTTTTGTCTTTTTTTATTTAAACGAGAAGGTGGCAGTTTTACCTTGATAACCTTGTTGAGCCAAATCTACGGATATATACTTTATAATGTTTACAGATGCGCGATAACGGCATAGTTACTCGGGCCGGTAAATAAACATATTGGATGCCATATTCTGTTTAACGAAAGACTATATGACATGTAATGTATTAACCCCACATACAGGAAAGAGCAAGTCAAAGAAGCATAAGTTTAATAAGATGTAGGGAGGAAGAGATCAATATTATGAATGTGAAGCTTATTTACTTCCCACTGTGAATGTGTACTAAAAAGTGAATATGTGTATATATTTTAACTATTAGTGTAGTACTTTGTTTCCTGGTTTTTTAATGTGCTACGGATTGTGAGTCCTTAACTAATTGTGCTGCTGAGTAACTAATATTGCGGAATGATGTTGTTCTGATAGCCACAGCCGTCACCTGCTGCAGAAAGGAAGTAAACAGCCCCATATCCGCACCTGACATGTGTATTTCATTGCTGCAGGAACTCTGTGCATGTGTGTCTCTGCTGAATATCATTACGCCCCACCCAATCTGAGTTCCCACAACTTTAAGACCGATCCACTTCTTCTCAGACTTTTTCGGCTTGCAGTTTGGGCTTAAATGTAAACATTTATCCTTTCGAAACGGTTGGAATTATCTTGACCTAACTTAGAATTGTGCTGTGATGATTAATACACTGATTGATGATATACACAAAAACGCTTCTAATATATGTTTTGGGAATAATTATGAGTTTTTTTTTGTGTACTAAATATTTCATTGTCCAATTTCTGTATCTGGATTTTTGGACTGTAAAACATTTAATTGGGGCTAGTGTCATTTTCTATGCTGTTATCAAAGATTTATATAAAACTGGCTTGAAAGTCGCTTTCAAACAAAACAAATATCGGTTCCACACATAAATAGCAAACGATAGTGCTTAGTTCAGGTACACTTTCAGGAAATTACATCACATAATTAAGTTTTAAGTTTTCGTAGAAGTGTGCAGTTGCAGTCGCCTGAATGAATTAACCCATTCAGAAATATCCGGAATGACCTTCTGTCCGCCACTGAGAAACGCCTCTTGTGGGAGAGGTGACTTATTCTGCTTCTTGAGAAAGTACCCTCTCTGTGGGAGCGATTTCAGACACACTGAGACCTTCTTGGCAGCCCAGCATCTAGGGTCACGCATGTCGGCCGTGAGGATGTGAATTACTTACAGAGACGTGGGAGGGAAACATTTGTGTGACATATGCTGAGGGCTCGCCGGCGGCTGTGTAAACACTGACCACCACAGGAAGTGCTCTCAGTGGGTAGGAGATCCCGCGGTCAGCGGAATTAGTGTGATGTGATGTGTGAAAAAATCTTGAAAATTATATATATATATTGAACATAATTCATTGGCAGTAAGGCAGATTGTTAGTTTTTCCGCAAAGCTGGAAAAAATATATTATTTACAATGTATTTAACAAAAATAGGTGTTTCTGATATGTGCATGAACTGTTCCAGTAAAATTAGTTAAATCCTCCTCGATGGTCAGATGTTACAGCATGACAGTGAGAATGAACAGCTACTTGGTCTTATGGACTCTAGATTTCTTTTCCAAGGCACTGGTAGTATACAGTTACAAATGGAAAAACTAGTGAGAGTAAATCAATGTGCTGTTTATTAGCATTGTGCGTCACAGATAATAACCCTACAAGGTTGAGTGAGGGAGAGGCTGCAGTGGCAGACATCTTACTTGGATACTGAGAGTGAATTACAGGCAGGAAGCCTCTGACAGACATCTTCATCGGGTTGTGCCTGCAGCTTCCGAAACCGTATGGAAATGGAAATCCGTGACTGCAGGAGACGCAGGAAATCCATGGCGGACATCTTACTTGGCATCTGAGAATGTATTACAAGCAGGATGTGTATGGCAGTACCTTTTTCAGGGGTCCTACAGCAGGAGACCTGGAACTTGAACAGGAAGCCAGTGCATTACACATCCTTAACTACTGTACCAACTGCTTACCATTAAAACACAGGCCAGAGTCTTTCCCCTGGGCTCACAAATTTACGTGGCTAAGCACAGAGTGAACGCCTTGTGATGCAGGGACGTTGAAAATGGCCCAACATAATGTTCTCCTTCCCTATTTTTTCCTAATGCAAAAATAACGGATATCCTCTTCCTTTGAGTAGCCTAGTTGGGTGCGTAACTAAAACGATGCTTTAACCTCCCCAGTCCGGCCACAAAGACGGCATTGTCGGTTTACTGGATGTCTGAGAAATACCTAAGTATATTTCTGTAGGTTTTGTAGCCAAGGAACACACTTAATATCAAAGAAGTATCACTTCTCAATGGGTCATTTATATAAACTGGATATATTTACACAAATTTATCATCTACCAGTCATGACATTCTGTAATTAACAATAATATTGTACATGTAATTTGGTTTTGGCAAATGCTATTATCATGGAAGACTAGCAATACTAGAGGACATGGAATTGTTTCATAATGATAAGCAAAACATTATTTTCTTAGCAAATCTCCAATTAGAGATCCATAACTAATGTACCTAAATATTGTCAGAATTTCATTGAAGATGATAAATTGTGGCTAATACTAGCATGCCAGTTAAAACTGGCTAGGACGCTTGCTTCAGGAAGAGAGTAATTTTATCATGTTCCTAAAAATAATGTTTGTAAAGCTCTTTGACCAGTATTGGTGTGCAAATCTTGAATTCCTTTTCTAATTGCATGTGACAAAAGTAGAAAACACAATTTCTGTCTTATTGAAAAATGTGACGGATCTTTTTCAGATCACGAGACATGCTGTTTTTGTCTTTTGGGATAAGGGATCTGCTTTAATCCTTAGGAATTTAGTGGGAAAATCATTTCTTGCCAGCGTTAAAGCAAGTTGAACTTCAGGGCAAGCAGCAGAAAGACAGACACTGTACAAAATTCTTTATATAGAAATGACTTTTTTTGGTGGTAAAATATTTGAAAGAGCAGTCACGTGCCAAGAAAAGAAGGCAGTGAAATCATCTCTGTACGTGCGATCGTGTTTTATATAGCGTCGCTATACTACGTCGCTATATCCAAAATCAGCCCCTATCGTATGATCTGCGTTAGTTTATCGCATCTTTTCGACCAGAGTGGAGAAGGTGAGGAGCATCACTTCTTGAAAAGAACCATCGAGATTTTTGCGCGAAATGCTGACATGCCTTGAAGGGCGAGCTTGTTGTTACTGCAAGCGACTTGGTAAATCAATACAGTACAGCAACTGATAAAGTATCCCTCTAACGCAGGGGGAAATTATAGCAGGTTATAAAGCATATGGAAGTGGACTGCAGCAGATCCCATTAGGATTTTCCGTCATTACATGCTAAACTGTATCCTTTCAAGCCTTAATGTATCTGTTTTACGCTGCAAGCAGCAGTAATGTAATTGGTATTGTTTAAAAGGTATTTCACTCTATTGTATCTCGGCTACGTAACGGAATATACCGATCTAATCGTACTACTGCTGCAGTCCATAAACTCCGCAGTTTGTTTTGCCGACCCTGCAGGGTCAGAGGTTCAGTACCCTGCCCGTTTTCTGGGGCGTATAATAACCCCCCGTGCTCCCAGTTTGCAGCACACGGTAGGTCAATGGGCCGATTAGCAGGATTAGCGGCTTCTGCTGAGCAGGCGATTGCCGATTACGTGCTCCATTAGGCTGCATCGTCACTTAGCCGGACTGCTGTTACGTGTCACCTAGCAGGTCACGTGACTGTGCTTGGGAACCACCCTTCAGATCGTGGTAGCGAACCTACGACGAGACTCCAGCATTTCTAACTTAACTGAGCTACGTGGCAGAAGCGATAGTGTCCAGCCCCCTACAGCAAAATTCAGCCTGAAAACAGCTGACATTTTCTCTCTTCCCTGTTTTTAATTATGCTGCTGAGTATGTCCAGTAATCAGCTTGATTGCCTGCTCTCATTTTCATATAATTGTACAAGGAATGAATCTTTGTATTGTTCCCATCTGTGTAGGGTGAGCTGACTGGACAAAGTTGAATTAACCTGATCAGTTCCATCTCCACGGTGATTGATTATTGGCCCTAAGCCAACCGGGCCTCAGTTAATGGAATCCAGCTGACCGTTCGTTGGAGGCCGTCCTTATTCTGGTTTAAGTGTGGTCTGTTGGGTAGGCAACAGGAGAACAGTGGCAGATGATGAATTGGGTATTTTTTAGAGGGTGAGGTGGGATTTAGTAGGCTAATGAAATACTAATTTTCTGTGTTCTGCTTGTGGCTGACCTTTGTCATACAGCATGCTAAACTGCTGCTTTTGTATTTTTTTCTATTTTAGTGAAGGTTGCTCTTAGCAGTGATTACACATTGTGAAAATGCACCCAGTAGAGCAGGGGTGGGTAATCTTATCCACACCGGGCCAGGGTGTGCAGGATTTGACCTGCACACACACAACAGCCCTTTCTGGATAAGACTGCCCACCCCTGCTGTAGTGGGGGGGATGCCTGAACATCTGCCAATTTTCCTCAAACCAGTGAAAATGGCTTCCATTTTGTGCCCCTCTTGGATAACCAACAATCAATTGCCTCTCATTCTATGCATGGAGCTGACTGATACTATTTCAGCAGGATAGATGCACTATATGGACACCCTTAATAATTACAGGGATGGGCCATATAAGCCACACCCATTGCTGACATACAGGTGTATAATTAAGCACACAGTCACGCAATCTGCAGCATCAAACACTGGCAGCAGAGTGGGTGGTCATACAGAAGAGGTCAATCAACCGAGGACCGTCATTGGACACCACTGGACACCTTTCCAACCAATCAGTCCTCCACTTGTCTGTCCTGCTATAACTGCGGAGTGGTCGGCCACACAAGCTCACAGAAAGGGACCTGATCACCCAACATCAATAATGGAAAGCCTTCCCAGAAAAAGTACAGGCTATTATAGCAACCAAGGGTTAGTCAGCTTCATATTAATACCCATTGATTCAGAATGAGATGTTGGACAAGCTGGTGTCTACATATTTTGTCCATATAGTGCATTTAGACGGCTTCAGTGATGATTCGTTCTGGCGCTAAGATCTGCGGTTACGTTCGACTAGATCTCATTGGGACTTCAGATGCCTCTCAGGCCAGTGGTATGTTAGTCTGCTCTCCGTGTTGGCGAATCTTCACGTGCGTGTTACAGCATGGGGCTAATGTAGGGTACCTGAACTGACTTCACAACAAAGATCTGAAAAACGATCCTTGTTTTTCCCACTCTGCGTTACTGTGGATCGCCACAGTAATTGCCCTCTGGTGGACACGCAGGTCTTTTCATTGCTGCTGGGGTATTGCTACTCTGTTAAACCAATGAAAAATCAGCTTGGTTTGCGCTGTCTGTTAATGTGATCAAGAGTTAGCAACCCATCTGAAGCCCGCATGCAGCCTCTGTGCTAATTGTAACAATAAATTTGTATAGGTTATATAACTTATTATTAATAATATAATTTATATAACTTTAATAAGAGGTGTAATAATGTATACATATGAACAATAATTTTGTCTTGTTTCTAATTAAGATTAATGTATTTTCACTTCTCTCCACAGCTATTTACAGTAGAATGAAAGGTTATAATTTACATGCACTTTCTGGGACTTGAACCCACAAACTTTGCCACACGTTATTTGTTGAGCTATGGTACATAATATATAGATATGTACCTGATATAATTCAGATTTAAACAACTGATTTTAAAAACTTGTTGTCTTTGTATGGAGAATGTCGTGCATGTGATCAGAAGGTTGCCGGTTCAAATCCCAGGGTTGGTTGAGTGGCTTGATTATTGGGCCCCAAAGTGAGCCCCTTAACATCAATTGCTCCGGGCACTGGCTGACTCAGCTTGCTTAAAAATGTACATGGTATTAAATAAAGGTATCTGGTAAAAAAAAAATGCAAATTATTATATATGTATTACACAGCAATTTATTATATGTATAAATTGCTGCATAATCCGCAACACCTAGACACCTTTTTCTGTCCTGCAATATCTGACTGAAGTTATCACTTAAAAAATCATTTTTAGTGAATCACTAAGCAGATATTCATTAACTTGACCGATTGGTCAGCTGAGTTCCTGAAATACTGGAATGCATTAATGTTATATTAACACCTTATGGTTTATGTGCTAATTTAGTACTGGCCGTTTCATCGATAGCTTTTATTTTTCATCTTGGTGGGACAATTTTTAAGGTAAATCAAAACCCTGTATGTCATGCAGTGGCCAGTTACTCCTACTCTGAAACATGAATAAGATAAAAGACATATCTTTCAGGAGATTGTTTTAAAAAATTAACTGAGGGGAAGATAAGCACTGAAATCATAGAGTTATAAAAACATTGCAAGATAAGCACTTGCTATGCATAATTCTTGTCGTAGTTTACACCAAAGGAGGATACCGTCTGTTGCAACAGTTTATGTAACTTGTCTCTGACCTGCAGCTGTCTCTGGGTAGCTTTATACACAAGAGCACCTTACTTTTTCTGCTCAGTGATCACAGAGAAGGAGAGCTGGTACATTATCCTGTCACAACAGAACATTGAATTTAGTTCTCATAATTTTCCTGAATAGCGCACCTACCCCATAGTGCATCCACGTGTCTTCTGTATACCCCATGCCATTGGTTCAGTCTTTGGGCAGAGCTGAACCCGATATCACGCTCTGCAGCTCACTGTAGCTAAGAGCCCAAGTGATTGCACGACTATGGTGAGTCCATTTCTTATTTATAAAATCCAAAAGGAAGTATTCAATATTCATGAACAATCTGTACTACAAACAATGGATATTCTCTTCAAAGGGGCAGTAAATTAAGTCAACGGAAACTTTCAACAGCTGTAGAGATGTGTCTTCCTCCACGGCACCCCATATCTCCCATATCTACAGGGGGGTCATTTTGGTGGTGGTAGTGGGGGTTGTAAATAAAAATGCAGTTAAGGAAGAGGGAGAGTGGAACAAGTTATTAATAGTACACCTAACTTGCTGGTTTTCTAGAGTCAGCCCTGGAGAAAGGCTTACATCTATGCATGGGTGTCATTAGCCACTAGCATTTTAGCCCCGATGCCAGGCAATCCTCAAGTAAGCTTGACTTAACCCCGGATCTTTTCATTAGCTAGACACTCCCCTGCTTTGTGTATCACTATTTTCATTTGCAACATATAATATACTTAGTCCCTGATGACATTAGGGAGAACTTCTGCACCATCCCACAGTTATTTTGCACACAAAATAAAACTCTTTCATAATCACGTCTAAAGCTAAACGGGATCAACGTGGTAATGGGTTCCTTGTTTATGAGAATCCATAGGTTACAAGCATGAGAAGTTCTGTTGAGAGATTTAGTAAGAGCGAGTTAAATTGAGAGTTCTCGCCATTGACCCTTCTCGCCATTGACCCCCAAGTCATCTCAAAGCCTTTATTTTTGGCTGTTGGGCTTCTTGGTCATTTTCTGGCACTTACGACATTCCCAGTAAAAGAACATTTTGTCCTCCATGATCTGTATCAATGTCCATTCATTTCAAATTTGTTCCAATTAAATCCACAGCTTGAGTCAGGGTGTGTTGCCTTCAGATTGAAACATTGAATTGCAAATAAGTTATAATATTTAGGTAATATGTGGTTTAATAACAAATATGAAGTTGGTTTTTAATTTCCAATTAAGCTTAATATGATTCAAGCACATGTATTAACATTCATATATATTCGTATATGTATTTTATATGTCAATTTCAATTTCCCACATCAAATCACAAATCCATTAAATACTTGTTACTTCCAAGTAGAACAAAACAAAAATAAAACGTATACAATTCTTTACACAAAAATTATCATTTATTTGGCAGCGATGATTTAGTATTAAAAACTTTGCAAACTAAAAAGCCCATTGCAAACTGACGAGAAGGGGCTTGTCTGCATTATTGATTTATACGGACATCTAGCGGTGACACCAGGTTTTCTGTCTCTGTAGTTTGTAACTTCTTGGAATGTGGACGTGGATAAGGTTTTGGTACAGCTATGGCTGTAAAAAAAGGGAGGCATTATTTTTCTGGGTAAGAGAAAGTCTAGCCGAACACCGTTCGTGACGCTATTTCGTCCATTAGACTAAGAAAGTTTGGATCACTCATCACTTTTCGAAACGGCATAACTAATAATACACAAGTAATACTTTTTGAATATTGTATGTGCAAACAACAATACAACAATAACGCTGGGATTTTTTTTGCAGAAATCTTACTACCCGGCGAGGTGGAAAATAATTTAACTAGACTAAAATTTCAGTTAAAGACAATACTCGACGGCCGTTGAATGTGATTGACAAGGTTATTGTGCAATCGCAGTGCGCGTCAGCCAACAAGGGCCTTCATTTATCCAATCATATTCGTGCGTGGGCGGGATTTTACGTTTCTTCGGTCACAAGGGCAGCGTCAACAGGAAATGAGTGATACGGCTGGCACTTTGGAAAGAGGACAGGAAAAAGTTATATACCACATGATCAAGCCCCGCTGATAGTTTTACTTTAGCGCTAACAAGTATAATATAATGTAGTCAGATGTTTACCGTGACAATTTGCGATTTGTGTTTGTCACCGAATCGTGAATGACTCCAGGAAAACATGTAAATGTTCTAAATTTAAGTTAGGTAAAGTGATATATTTAAGTGTCGGACTTCTGTTGGGACATCGCGATGCATTAAGTCTGGCGGTCGGTTTGTATTACATTTAACTTTTAAATGATGGTTAGCGTTACAGTGACTTTGGAGCAGGTTCATTTTGAGAGGAACCGTAAACTTGGGTGTTGCATGGGATAAGTTGCGATCCTTTGCTCCTTTGAGTACGGGGAGAAGATGCCCTGTTCTTGCGGGAACTGGAGAAGATGGATACGGCCGCTGGCTGTGCTTCTATACATATTCTTACTGCTGGCGGTGCTGCCTCTGTGCATCTGGGAAGTGCAGAAATCCGAGGTGAGTTGCAGGCATGCACCCTAAACCATGTAATCGGTAACGATCGCATTAAGAACATTTTGTCCTTTAAAATGCGCAAACGGGCACTGGAACATGACTGATGCGCACGAGCGTAACTTTGTCGGTCAGCCGCGTCACGTCGGTGCTTTGCTTTCAGGTCGGCGTCCACAACAAGGCTTGGTTCATCGCTGCCATATTTGTGTTTATGACCATACCGATTTCTCTGTGGGGGATCCTGCAGCATCTTGTGCATTATACTCAACCTGAGCTGCAGAAACCTATCATCCGGTAAGCCATGTTATCCGACTCAGTTCATGGGGCATAATGAAATGACATGAAATAAAATTAATGTGTGCGGTGGCGTTGTTTGTGGTAGTAGGTGTGTTGTCATAATGTATCATTGTGCTCTGTGCCGGGACAAAAACACAAAGTTGTTTATTTTTCTTTTGGCAGGATATTATGGATGGTTCCTATATACAGTTTAGACAGTGTAAGTGACTCTTAAAGATTATATAACTTTCAAATGCTGATGTTGAGTGTTTCCCCCTGTGTGTTCCCATCTCTTGTAGACTGAGCCTTGATTTTAATTAAATATTTTCGTTTTGTCTAAGTGATAAATACTCAGAACCGAGGTCCGTAGTTTATCTGGAATTCCTGAAGCTTGGAGACCTTGTCCTGTGACAGTGGTGTAGGATTTAGGACTTAAGTGTCCGCACTGTTTCCATGGTGATGTTTTTCTAAATTAAAGGCAGCACAATCTCAAGTCACAAGACTGAGTGTCTCTGATTTAATTTGGCCCAAAACTGGAGAATATAACATTCCTTCAGCCTGTGTTTGTGTCTTTTTTTGAGGCACAACTTAGTAAAAGGTTAAAATACGCTTAAATTATTCTAGACTGAGATGGACTGCGCATCCCTGCAAGGTATAAGCGTCTTACGATGGACTTTGTGTCACAATGAAGCTACATTGGACTAGATGTTCTGCCAAATGTCTCAATGAATTACAATATAACAAAGATACATGCATAGAGCGAATGGAAAGATCCTCTCTAACATTGGCATGTTGACCCTTATGATGGCAGAAATGATTGTAGCTGTGATTGCCATGTGCTTAACTGTTATTAAAAATGTGCAGTTTTTTTTTTCCATTTAAGAAAGTGCCATAATGGCTAGAAGTGTATTCTTGCTATTTATAATGAGTTGTTCATTAAAAGTGTTGGCCCTATACTAATAATCATATTGGTGTTTACGTTTGAATGAACATTGACTCATGCATTTCTGCTTGAAGTGGATTGCCCTTAAGTACCCCAGCATCGCCATCTACGTGGACACGTGCAGGGAATGCTACGAGGCTTTCGTCATCTATAACTTCATGACCTTTCTGCTGAACTACCTGGGCAAGCAATACCCCAGCCTGGTGCTGATGCTGGAGGTGCAGGAGCAGCAGAGGCACCTCCCCCCGCTCTGCTGCTGCCCGGCCTGGCCTATGGGAGAGTGAGTCTTCCTTTAGCCCCGCCTTCATCTTGCCTGGTTTTTAATTGGACAGTCTGATCATTCGCCCTGTGGATTTCTGCAGGGTATTGCTGTTGAGGTGCAAGCTGGGAGTTCTGCAGTACACAGTCGTGAGGCCCGTCACTACCATCATAGCTCTGTAAGTGCATCTGGAATTGATGGAAAATGATTTTGGGAATGGTTTGTCAGTGGGTGGGTGCAGCCTTCAGTCTGCTACACTACACAGGCAGGCATGGAAAACTGACTCATTGATGGACTTTGGCTTTGACCTTGACCACAATTTACACCTTTTTTTTAGCAACAAGCCCACTCTTTCTGTAATGTTAGTATGCCCAAGGGGGTTGGGTTTGTTTTCTTTCTTTTTCTCTCTTTTGCTTTTTCTTTTTCTTCCATTCATTTCTTTATTTCTTCCATTCATTCTCTTCTCTCCTGCTCTCTTTCTTTGAATTATTCCATATAAATGATGCAGGATTGTATCACAGCACACCAACGTGAAGCTCCTTGGGGTGACTGTGAAAGGCGCTATACAAGAACAAATTGAATTATTATTGATGATTTAAAAAAAAATATTTCAGACAATTTAACGCTATATTATTAAGGTTAAAACACTCTTCTTGACCGTAAAATGCTAAAAACATGCACTTAGGCAAGCTGGCTGCTATAGCTTGTCCAGTTTGTGGGATTTTTGTGTGCGAGTGGCCTGGGTTTCATTGGTGTCCCAATCCTCACTGTGCTGAACTGGGTAAGTGGTTACGGGAGATGCAAGGTGGTCCTGACCAAAGTAGCAAATTCACAATCACGAAACTTAAGTTGCAGGAAATGCTTTTAGTATTTTTAGAATTTCCATTTGAGTTGTAAAAGGGTAAAATGGGAAAGGGGAAAATACGGAAGCGACAGTATTGGACCGGAGTCCCTAAGCATGCATCTCTATATCCTGCCAGGATTTGCCAGTTATGTGGCGTATACGACGAAGGAAACTTCAGCTTCAAAAACGCGTGGACCTACTTGGTCATCTTCAACAATATGTCCCAGCTGGTATGTCTCTCACTCTAGTTGTGCTTGACTTTCAGTAGTCATGCCATACGCATCTTAAATTGGTTATTTGAATGTACTGTTCGTATAACAAGTCTCAGAGTTCAGAACATAAGGAAGGAATTGGTAACAACTTGGCAAACCATGGTTAGTAGGTATATGGGGTGTTCTTTGTTGAAATGCGGGCTTCAAGAATGACCCATTTTCTTGTTGAAATGAAGTTTTCAGTGCATAAGCCAAAAGTGTCGATTCAGCATCAGTGCTCATTTGGGTTAAGATTTTTGCTGTTTAGACCTACACTAAAAATAGCAACCACATATTTACCCAGCACTTTTAATCACGTTAGTGTGGCATTCGAGCTGCGTGTGTTTGTTCTGGAAGCGGTACGAGAGTAGAACCTTCCATTTTGAGAACCTTGATGTGTGACACACAAGGCTAAATGGGTTGGAGGATGTATTTGGGGAAGTCGGTTCCTCTTGATATGCAGTGTGGAACCCGTGCCCGGCAGCGTATGTGTGTACATGTAACTGCTGTTCTCCCCCACCCCTGCCTACTCAGTTCGCCATGTACTGCCTGGTGTTGTTCTACAAAGCCCTGCGTGAAGAGCTCCGCCCGATCCATCCCGTTGGGAAGTTCCTGTGCGTGAAGCTGGTGGTGTTTGTGTCTTTCTGGTAAGTCCCATGATTTTTTTTGGGGGGGGGGGGTTCTGGATAGTGTTGTTCTCCTGGTTGAACAATTTCAAGACTGCGATTTAGTGTACAAAGGACACTTCACTGCCTAGTGGCGTGTGAAAGGGCGATCTACATCCTGGTAACCCAATAACGTGTCTGTTAATCTTCATCTTTCTGTTTTTTTTGGTTTTTTTTTCTTTTTCATTTTTTCAGGCAAGCTGTTTTTATCGCATTTCTTGTCAAGGTGGGCGTGATCTCAGAGTTGCACACGTGGGACTGGGACAGCGTAGAAGCCGTGGCTACAGGTCTCCAGGTGAGCACGCAGATGGGCTGCCTGCATGGGGAAGCCACAAGATGACAGTACCCATGTAAAGCCAGAGGTCATAGTCTCTCAGCTAACAGCAGATTTTAGCGTTAGCGCAGTTGGAGAGTAACTCGGAGTGATGGTTTCCCCCCCCCTCTCTTTCCAGGACTTCATCATCTGCATGGAGATGTTCCTGGCAGCTATAGCACATCACTTCACCTTCAGCTACAAGCCCTACGTCCAGGATGGCGGCGAGGTCTCCTGCCTGGACTCCTTCATGGCCATGTGGGACATCTCGGACGTCAGGGATGATATATCGGAGCAAGTGCGGAACGTCGGTGAGCTTCTGAAGCGCGCTGCAAACCTTTAACTTGTTTCGCATCATTATAAGTGCGATATATATATATATATATATATATATATATATATATATATCCAAAGCACCTTACTTTCTTTTTACAACATATTTTTTTCGGTATCGGTCGACTTTTTTTTTTTTTTTTTTTGGATACCAAAGCAATTCAAGAATAGTTTGACTTAGCAATCAAACGTAACTGGTTAAAACTAATGGTCAAGCATAACAGGTAAGCTTATTTAATAATTAACATCTATTAATAGTTTTGTTTAGAATAATTAACAATCAGTGATTATACATTAATATACTGGTACAATGATTAATATATAGTAGTATTATCGTTATATTAGTATTGTCTATACAAGTCAACGTAGAAGATTCTGTTTCGGTGCTTAAATGTGCCCAGGTTGTCCAGCTTACCGTTTATACCGACGTACTCGACAGGGAGGACGGTGCTGGGCCGGCCCAGGGTGGCGTACTTCGAGGGGAATCAGGAGCAAGGTGAGCAGACTGGACTGCTGTCGGCCGACGGCCCGGAACCTTCCACCGAGGTCGCCGCCATCTCGCCGGCCCCGTCGGGCCGCTATCGGGGCCTGGGGCACACGGTGACGCCGCCCACCCTGCCGTCGGTGGACGGCTTCGGCCAGGACGACGCAGCGACGAAACTGCCGCCCGAGGACACGGTTTCCTAGCCGCTTTCGCGGTGTCTGAGAACAGCGTATTAGCGTAATAATTCTACTTGATCGGAATGGATAACTCTGTAATGCTGACCCACAGGCGGTCGCACAGACTCGCAGACTTCATAAGCTCCATACAGCAGCAATAGCCTCTGACAGCTTCACGAATGTCAAACCTGAATTTTTAACTGCAGTGTGAAATCCATGCAGCATATCGCCTACGGCCTTTTACTTCCTGTATTCCGTTTCTTTTTTTCCATACTCTTTTAAATTAAGCTACATTTTTTAGAAAAACAAAATGATTTTAATAGCCAACCTGGAAGCACACTTTTAGGTCAATTGTAACAAACTCAGTCTTACTGTATGTTTAACTTGCTTTATGCCTCTTTCTGCGTTTATGCTTTTAAAAAGTCACTACAAATGACACTAGGGAAGAGTCCTTTGCATAAAAGGGGTTAAAATATATATGTTTTTCTTAAGTGGGAAGTCAGTATGGTCATTCCTGCACACACCAAAGATCTGGCTGTTGTTGTTGGTGACCACAGTTAACACACTGTGTATGTTGTTTAATCTGACTCGTCATTTTTCCAGTAATGGAAAATGGCTAAAATAAGTACTATAATTTGTCTGTTGATGGAAGGTGACAACTGAATAGAAAATGTGTGATTGTTTTAAGTGGTCTGTTGCACTTTCTTGTGTGCCATTAACCCAAAGCACATTCTCTTTTTCATTTGAAAACCACCTGCTCCGTTGACTGGGTCATACCTTCGCTTGACGAGATTTTTTGCGTTAAGACACTTTGAAACTGACCATCATTCGAGTGGGAGTTTCTCATGCTCAGGAACATGAACTCTGTAAAAAATTATCAGTCTGATTTTAGTCAATCTGTGTTTAAACTGGAGTTCTAAAATTAGACTAGCAAATCTTTCATTTTGCACAAGTATGACTGCAGACATATATGTGGGGCATTGATCATTTTAAACCTAAATGTACAGATGTTTGACTCGTAACTTTAGAACGTGCGGTTTTTGTGTTTTGGAAATGGGACGATGCGATGACCTGTGTAAATATTCTATTCAAGGATTCTGATTACTGCCGTTTCCATAGTAATTCATCTCTGCTAGTGTTTGCCAAAAGGACCAGACTCTCCTAGCTGTAGAAGTGGAGACTGCAGCAGAATCAGCAGGTAGTCTGTGTGTTTGTGTGTTTTTAAAGTCATAAGTACAATTTAAATTAATGATGGGCTAAATGATGCTTCATGAACCATTAACCGTATTTTTGACCCCACTAGATGGTGCTCTTGAGTTGCTTTGTGCCCTTTTTCGAACAGCACCATCTAGTGGGGTCAAGAAATACAGCAAATGGTTCATGAAGTGTCATTTTGTACATCATTCATTTAAATCCTGCCTATTTCCATTTTCCATTACTACAGCTACATCATAGATGGCTGGTTAAATGTATTGCTATTCAAACACTGCTTATATTGCAGAATTCCTACAGTACACGCCCTCCCAAAAGTACAGAAAAATCAGATTTTACACATTATACGTTATCTAACGTAGTTCACTTGGATGTGCTCTATACATTACAGGAAAAGTCTTTTTCTTCCGTATACTATTTTATTTCTCTGGTGAAGTGCGCACATATCAAACTATACATTTGGCAACTTTTTACCAACATGATCAGAGACGTTTCTTGCACCATTTGACATACTAGCAGTGCCCTGGCGTTGGTCCTTCAACACTGAAGTGGTAGCTTAACTGTTGGGGTGGGTGGGGTCTGTGGTTGGCTCCTCCCCCTTCCTCGCTGTGATGGACAGGCTGTTCTTGTGGACTTTTATGCTCAGGCACACCACTTCCCCCGCGCTCACCTCCACGGGCTGCTGCAGGACCACAGCAGCTTGTTTCCAGTGAGAACACGCGCTGAACGTGCTTATGCTGATCTCCTCGTCCAGGTGGAGCTGGTACCAGAATGGGATAGCGGTCAGCCTGCCTGCGGAGGTGGTACATACCTGGGACCCACAAAAGAGACGAATACAAACCTGTTAAATTTGAGGTCATTTAACGAGAAACATGAAATAAACACTTACTGTATGTTCCACATTCACTTGAATTAATAACATGATGCAGAAAACTAGTTAGCCTGGTCGACGCAAGCAAAAGCTAACCCAGTAGCTAAGGGTTTTCAGCGACCCCTACCTTCACCTCCTGGCTTGTATGGTTCGCACTGGAGTTCATGAGGTCGAGTACAAACAGCTCTGTGGGCTCACTCAGGTGCTTGCAGCAGAGAGTGGACAGGTCCAGAAACACATGTACGGGGACCTGGACAGACACCACAACGTCAGTCTGATTCTTCTCAATCGTCTCGGGGCTTGGGTTGCAGCTAGTGGCGGGATAGTGTTTTTAGACCATGGTCGAGGAAGTGGAGAACCGTTCCGAGAAAATCTATCGCATATTTCATTGCTGCGAGTATGTGACAATATATATATATTTTTAAGCTTCTGAACATTTCTGGGTTGTTCATATAGCCGGAGAAATTCCCCGGGGTTTAAGCTGCGATTCGTGATCCGTTCTGGCGGTGAACTGGCCTATTCTGAGAAATGCCTTGAAAAGACATCTGCTAAAACAAGCCCGCGTCTCAGGGGACGCTGCGGAGAGCGCATGGGAACGCTGTCCTGGAATCTAAACAGGAGTGGAGCTGTTTTTTTTTGTTGTTTGTTTGAGAGGGAAATTCACCCACCCATTCAGGGGGGGGTGGCCGCGGCTAACTCAAATCCTATCTGCAATGCAGCGTTTTAAAATCAAACTAATCTCTATACAATAAACACAACCATTGACGGTTTCTGGAAATTGTATGCGGGGATCTGTTCTGTTCCATGCTGGCGTGGCTCAACCGATCCCCGGCAGCGCACCGTGAACTGGTTGATGAAGGGCGCGATGTCAAAGCCCAGTGTCAGCTCACGGCCCTGCACGGCGCTCTCCTGCAGCAAGGCATCCGACTCCACCAGCTGCCCGTACATCACGATGCGTTCCGGAAAGATCCGTCCCCCATCCTCCAGAAGGCACCTGTAATAGGATTTATTACTTGGAGGAGCAGTACCTCAGCTGGTTTGGCATCAGCGCCCACGTGAGTCTCCAAGGTCGTGACCCAAATTCACGGTAAATGTTGGGTTGCGACCCACCAATTGAGAAACAGTGTTCTAAATTATATCTAGCATAAAAGAATAAGCAGATTCATGCCAGATGGAATAACAGGATAGTCCTGCAGGGAGTATTAAACAAGAACTACATAGTGGCTTATATTAATAAATACTTATTTCTAAGCCGCTAGAGGACAACTGAAGCCTGTGCGTGTCATGAAATGATTGAGGATGTTTAATCCTAATTATGCAGAAGGACCATATAAGGGCTGCGGCATTAAGATACAATAATGACGGTCTGGCCGTGTGCATCGTCGCCCACTCACCTGGCCAGGGTGGCTTTCTCCATCAGCTTCTGCCGGAGGAGGCCACAGATCTCCACGCAGTCCAGCACAATGGCGCTCCAGAGCTGCTCTGAGGACGGCCGCTGCAGCATGGTGGTGCCGGAATCACTGGGGGCAGCGGAGGCGGCGTCCCGGTTGTCCTCGCCGGCGCGACACAGCCAGAACTCCAACGAGTCTGGCCGCAGCCCGTTCTCCTTGGCCAGCCTCCTCAGCAGGGTCTGATGACGCTGCTTCTCCACGGAGCTGTACGCCTTCACCGAGGCCTGGCGGCCAACCATCAGCGGCAGCGCCGAGAAGCCTTCGGAGACGTCCAGCACGTAGAGCGGGTTGGGCTCGGCGCCCTCGCCGCCCTGTGGCCCCCGACTGGCTCTCAGCGCCCGCAGTAACTTCTCCAGCGCCCTGCTGTAGCTCTCGTGGTACTGCACGTTATTGATCATGGCTATCTCTGAGCTCTCCAGCACGCACGCGTGTTGGGACCCGCTCCGGCCGGTCTGGAGGGAAGCCAGGGCGCTGCACAGCTCGGCCTCCGTGCCCAGGGTCTGGCCACAGACGGGACCCGACGCCGAGTCATCCAGGCTGGTCACGAGGCCGTCCCTCACCACGGCGATGGCGTGAATCCTCAGGCAGGAATCCTTGCAGGAGACCTCCACCAGCAACTCGTCACCGGCTTTCAGGGAGCATTCTGGGGAACAAAGAAAATAATTAAAAATGACTCTAATGGGAAGGTGGGTTGGTGGGCAGCACTGATCACCTCCAGAGTTATGGGTTCGAATCCCACGTCCGGGTAGACGGCACGGGACTTACCACTGAGGTGCTGCACGGGGTAGATGGCCTGCTCCCAGCAGGTGTCCTCCTGCGGCCCCGTGGACAGGCTGGTCTCCTTGTCCAGGTGCAGCTCGAACCACATGGCCAGGGCGTCCAACATGCCGTCCCGAGTGACCGGCAGGCGGAAGCGGCTGCCCTCGCGGGAGCACAGACCCTCCAGCTCCTGGGGTCGAGAAGCGAAGGCGTCAGAATGATTTACCAGGCCTATGGGGTTAGGGGTATCGCCACTGAAATGCTTCTGCCCTTTGGGAAAGACTCTGTATTCCAGGTGAGAATTTCTATCCCAAGCCTGCATGAGGCCCAGCAGGCATCAACATGGAGCCCACTGTGATGTGACCCGTTTCCATGGGGACGGCCAGCTACCTGCACGCTGTTGAAGTCGATGTCCAGCGCCCGGAAGGGCTCGGTCAGGGCCGCGTAGCCGCCAGGCACCTGGCTGAGGCGTTCGGTGGTGTACGGCTCCGTGGAATCATCGGCATCCAGGGAGCAGCTCACGGGGCTGTGGACTCCTCCCATCGCGCACAGGGACAGCCCCCCTGCCTCCAGCACACACACCCTGCGCGGAAATGGCCGGGCACCGTGAGCTGAGCAGCTCAGAGGTTACGGAAAGCGGTTCGCTGGTAGGATTCTGATATCGTCCCGTGAGGGGACCGGCTCACCGGTGGTGCCTGCGGATCTCTGAGCACTCCAGAGCCATCCCGAAAACCGTGGCGCCTGCGGGGATGACCCGACCAGTCAGCGCCGGGCTGCTGTACGGGTCCTGCGGGTTCTGAAGGAGGCAACACGGATCATGTGAGGCCCAAGTGGCGCAATTCCAAATCTGGCCACTAGATGCCACTATCTCTACACTTTATGGTGATGGGTTGCAAACCTTAATTTTTAGAATGAATGTGTCAGTAATTGGTTTTGGAAAAATACTGCCAAATCTACTGCTTAGTCTAGTAAAATGAAAAAAAAAATGCAAATCACTATACTAATCAATGTCACTGCAAAATGGTCTTTAAATAATATCAACCAATGCTTGTTTTTTTTTTTGGTAACCTTTCCAGCCTCAGTTACATCATCAGGATGCCAGTGTCAGCCTATCAGATAAGACCAGAGCATTACAAGTGGCTGTGGGGAGGCATGGAAAGGCGGAAACGGCACATGAGTGTCACCTGGGGGGGCAACAGCAGATGCTTCCAGGCGTGGGTCAGACTTTCCACGATCCCTTCTCCGAACAGCCCCGCATCCACCGTCTCCGTCACCACCAGCGAGACCCTGCCCCGGGAAGCAGCATGGAGCTCTGTCAACATTCATGTCGAGTGGCCGTGATGCCCTTAGTGGCCAGGAGGTGGCGCACCTTTCAGGGATGTCTTTAGGGACTTCCATTTCTAAAGACTTCTTGTGCAGGATCTTTATGGTCCCGTTCATCCCATTGGCGGAGACCACTTCGCAGGCCAGCTCGTACATCGTCTTCGACAGCTCGCAGGCATACACCCTGGCAGCCCCCGCCTGCTTCGCACACATCCTGAAATCACACACGCACAGGTATGGGGGGGGGGGTGTTTTTGCGCATTTTATCAAATGAAGGTTACGATAAAAAAAAAATCCAGGCAGTCAGCTAAAGTCCGGGCCGGAGGGACGAACGGAACCACGCGGTGTGAGAATTGGGACGGGAGAGAAGGCGGGTTCAACAAAATCTTTGGAAAGGAACATCATTGTGACGTCACATAAGGGAACATACAGAAAGA